AACGGAATCACAATCGCTGCACATTCTACCTGACTACATGCTGGCTTTTGCCATTCCCGTGCTGGTCCACGATCCAGGCTATACGAATCACGAGGACTATGTTCAGCTGCGAAAAATGGAGAAATGTCTGCGCTTCATACTGGAACCGCTGATGGCCAAGCGGGAATCCTTCGTCTATGGTTTCTACAAGCAACTCCTTCAGCTGATAAAGCACCGCGAATTCAGCCAAGGTTCCGACAAGCGCGATAACTATGTATGCTAAACTGCCTTAAAAAGGTTTTTGGGTCCCGTTTCTCTTTTAAAACCATGCACTCTTTTAAATTATCAGAAAATGTGGGCACTGTGCGATCTCGCCATGTACATTATCGACTCGAAGATGGGACACATCAGTGAAAGCAACTCGAACACATTCTCCATGCCACTGGCATTGCCAGAAATGTATTATAAGCAGCCTGCCACTGCAAACTTCCAGAACAACGAGGTCTATATACCGCTGGACGTGTATACGTTGGGCGCCAAAGTGAATAAAGCCACCACGACAGCAATGGCAACGTCTCGAGCGGTTGCTGCACCGAAAAGGCCCGCAGAGCCGTCCCTCTCAGATGATGAGGATCCACAGGTGAGAATAAAAAGAAATAAGCTTGTGGATTGTGAATATTAACTGACATTTTTTGCTTTACAGGAGAACAATCTTTTTGATAACATCCGAGCAGCAGACACAACGGAACCTACGGCTAAGCGAACGCGTGGAGGAGCCGGCGCAGCCAAATCGTAGAGAACGGAGAAAAGAACAAGCGCGTACTTGTTAGTTTAGTTACTGTTAGACTAGGCGCCTAAGTTAACTAAATATGTAAGACGTCACGTAGGATGGGAACTACGATAGTTGTTAAACCGACACTACCTACAAAACACAACACCAACAAAGAACACGCGCACTCAAACCAAACCCAACCCAACTCATACATACAGAGAATGGCCCCGCCTCTCCTGGCCTCTCCTTCCTCATATGATTATGTTTTAAACCATGCTGCTCCGCTGCTGTAAAATATTCAATTTGTGGAAGAGACCAGACCCAGACCAATGCAAAACCCAAAATTTACAATTATCTGTCGCCTATTCTGTTAACGTTATCCTTAACTGTTTATGATATTTTATGATTTAACATTTTTAAACTGTTCCGTGTTTTGTATTGCAAATCATCTGTGTTTCATTTAACCTTTAGTCGTAGGCCCCTGTCGAATAAATGACGAAGAGTGTATTGAAAATTAGAGTGGAGTGCGAAAGTAAAGTAATGAAAACGTAAAATGAGCCTTATTAAGAAATTAAAATTAACTTTTCTATGATCGCAGTTAAAATTTAGTTATAAATACATACAGTTTCATAACTTTATCAGACGAGAATGCATTAAAAATGCATAAAACAATAATGAGACGAATATGTTGTAAGGATATTGAAAGCATAACAAAGATACAAAACAAATCATGTAACTTAAAGAATGTAAATTTATCTATTAACTGTTTTTCAAACGAATTAAACATACAAATTAAATATTATTTAAATAATAAAATTGCACACATCGTTTTCTTTGCTATCAACGCAAAAAATATGTTGGGAGAGCGTAAAAACGGTTTGAACGAACAGCTGGCTTTGGAAAGGTGTGTACAACAGACAAAAACCTCACCTCGCCGAAGATCGTCCTCATGGTATGTTATGCAAAAGGTGGATTTTACCTTGCATGCGTGGCATTTTCTGAGCCGTTTTGCCGGTTGTCTATATCCTCCTTTTAGTCAGCAAACCTTCCATGGAAGGGCATTATGGGATTGATGAAATGTTTGTCCGTCCAGGCTCCAACGAATGCCATGACGGATTTTATTAATAGTTTTTGTATGTTGAGTAGCTATGCAATAATAGCCTCTAAATTGTAAAGCTATCTTAACGAAATTTTGCAGTTTATGGTCTTTTTACTGATTCAAAAAATATGTATCGGGATTGAGATATATTTACAGGAATCTAATTATATGCATGAATGGTCAAAAACATGTCATTATGAGAAAAAGTCAGTGCGTGGAAAACCAAATTTTAACATCAATTTCAGGAAATACCCGGAAATAGGTATGCAAGAGTCAATACTCTATAAATACGTTCGTAGTTTTTTTGTAGGACATTTGTAGTTGCCGTGTAGTTACCATGTAAAAACTTTATATTTTTGTTAACCTTTTTTGTTTGAGCAATTCACTTTAAAAAGGCTAGATCTAGCCTGAAATATGCTAAAATGGCAGCACTGAAATGCATTCGTATTGGAAAAACGGGGGATGGACTTGTTTAGTTCTTGTTGTAATATTCGTTGTGTTTGTTTTGCAATAATATATCAATTGTAGTGTAAAAAGTATTGTGCTTTCGTGTTTGCAAGCTCCCCCACACATACTTAGATATTGTTGAACCTGCCCCGGTAAACAAAAAGCAAAATGAAAACAAACGTCGCCGCTGCGGCCGTCATTCGAAAATCAAACGCGCAACAGAGCACAACACGGATATTCACATCCACCCCAAATAATAGTCGTCAGCGCACAGAAATTACATCGCCACTTTTCCGTAACTGTGTAGGTGCAGTCGAAGCGGCTGACAAGGGCGGCGTAGGCGTGGGCGTGACACTGACAACCTTCGACCCACGGCTCAAGAAAGCAGCGCTTTTTCTGGGTATACTCATCATTGGATACAAGAGCGTCATTCTAAGCAGTAAGTGTGTCAAGTTGATGGAGAAGCAGGATGGGGAGGGGGAGAAGCGTTCCCAAGGCTGCAATTGTCGGTGACGTCGTTGCCTAAGCTTATTTGTTTGTGTTTGCCTTATAAATAGCCAAGAAATGTGTGTGTTTGTGTGATCTCATAGCCATTTTCATTCCGTTTGCTTTGGCCTCCGCTCCCCTTCCTCCTGCAATACTCCAAGCATCTAAATAAAGACCGCAAATTGTGTGTTGCGCATTTTGCCTTTTGGCCGTAGATTCTCATTTGCATAAATAAGCCAGCCAGGCGGAGTGATTAGTTTTCTTAATTGTTTGCCTTCTTCGGCCTTTGTTGTTGGCTTACTTTGATGGGTGACTCCTAACGGTGTTTTGCACTCAGGTCGTCACGCGACACGCACACACACGTATTCAAACTTTTGTAAAAAGTGCTGCCCATGTCACGTCCCGCTAGAAACTTCTTTAATTTCGCTCAGAATCCACCAACAACTTCGTCTTTTGAGGTATTTTCGGTTTTCTATGACAACTTGAACTTTAATTGCGGCAGTATGTTATCATGATGGCACTGATAACACCGAAATCAATTTATTGACACTTTTAACGAATTTCAGTGCCGTACATCAACACAGACAGTGTTCAACAGTTGACCGGCTTTGTACAGGGTCAATGGAGCGAGGCCTTGGGATGGTCTGAGAGGCACCAACTGGTCTCCAAGTTGAGCCCACTGTTGTGTGGCCTCATCGTGGCCACATTCGCCTACGGAATGGTTTACTTGGACAGCGCAGTGCCAGGTGTGACGCCACCCTCGCCCTTTTCGCCCCGTTCGAAACAGCGGTAAGTGGGGAGACACGACCTTTTGAGGGGTATTAACATTGAAAATTCGTGTCTTTATATTGCAGTTTCCGTCAGCAGAAGAGTGCGTCGCTTCACTTGGGCTATCTGTGCGCTCTGTTCTCCGGATTGCTGGTTACGATCTTTATGTACTTTGATTTTTAACATTAGAGCAGAGCCCGCTTCCTTCCATTTAGAAAATTATTCAACAGTATTAGATTTAACTTTATTTCTTTTGTATTTCCTGTGGAATCTGTGTTTGTATTTATTCTATATGTAAGTCTGAAGTGTTAATGTGCAAGGCTACTGGAGAGCCAAAGTCAAAGGAATAACTGCAAACATTGGGGCATTTTGGAGCCAACTTAGTTCCTAGGTAAATTAAATCTAGTATATTTACATGCTAACTTATATGTTATTTATAAAATTACATAGTACAAAATGAAAATATCCAGTAAGGACCTTAGACTAGAACAGGCGATTCCAGAAATACATACATAGTTTCAATTGTAGAACTGCTCTCTGGTCTTAGAGTCTTGGGAGAAAACCCGTAGTATTAACACTCTAAAAATACATTATAAACATTTTTTTGCACTAAAATATACATATGTAATAAAATTCCCAATGGCATATCTATATCGTGGGTGATCTTGAATGTCTGCTAATCACAGATGCAGTATCCTATATAACTGTTCTATGTACATATGTTTGTACATGTATAAGAAAAGTTAATCCTCACATTCGAATCAAACTAGTTTATTTTCGAAGTGAAACTGAATTATTGCCAATAAATAACACTATGCAATAGAACTTAATCAAATGTGTTTTCGATTGTCTCTTATCTTTGAAATTGTGGATGCCACAGATTTTCCGCCTTTGTGTACCGGGTATTATTAATAGGATGCAATAAATGCAAAAATTTACATCTGAGACCGGTTATAAGCTAATAATATTCCACCGAATTTTATATCAAGGAATATGATTTCCGATCATAGACATAGATCGAGAGCCAGTGGGCTTAGGTGAAAAATATCGTGATGTTTTTTGTAACTAAAAAGGTAGGATAGGATGGATCTACAGGAAGAATTTAAAAAAGTACCTTTTTTCGCGGTTTAACTCAAGGTGCACATCTGTTTAACTAAAAGAGGGTGAATCATTCCGTACACACTTACGTTTTATTCCGTGAACACTTACGTTTTTTGCTTTAATTTGTTGTTGAACTTTTTGCTTTTGGACACAATTCGGATAAAAAATATGTGGGCATGGCTGTAATATTCCACGGAATATAAAAATCGAGGAATATAGAAATTGAATTCGTTTCGTATATTTACGGTATATTCTTAAAATGAGGCGGTATATTTTGGTATATTTCTGAGGCCGATAAATTCGATAAAGGCACAAAGGAACAAATGTGAAAAATTGTCGCTTTAAATTGGCAATTATATATTTAAGTGAAATAGATATATACGCGCAGATATATGTGCTTGTGTGGCTGAGACTGACGATAACAATGGCCGGTAACATGTCTTCCAGTTCGAATGGGGAGTTAAAGAAACTTTCGGAGGAAAGTTTACTACAGCCCCCGGAAAAGGTTTTCGATATTATGTACAAACTGGGCGAGGGAAGTTACGGGTCCGTCTATAAGGCGCTCCACAAAGAGAGCTGCTCCATTGTGGCCATTAAGCTGGTGCCGGTGGAGTCCGACCTGCACGAGATCATAAAGGAGATATCAATTATGCAACAGTGCGATTCTCCGTACGTGGTTCGCTACTACGGGTCTTACTTTAAGCAGTACGATTTGTGGATATGCATGGAATACTGCGGGGCGGGCAGCGTTTCCGACATAATGCGCCTCCGCAAGAAAACGCTGACAGAGGACGAGATAGCCACCATAATGTCGGACACGCTCAAAGGCCTGGTCTATCTGCATCTGCGCCGGAAAATACATCGAGATATCAAGGCTGCCAACATACTGCTCAACACGGAAGGCTATGCCAAGCTGGCCGACTTTGGTGTGGCTGGCCAGCTTACAGACACGATGGCCAAACGGAACACGGTCATAGGAACTCCCTTCTGGATGGCCCCCGAGGTTATTGAGGAGATTGGCTACGATTGTGTAGCGGATATTTGGTCCCTTGGCATCACAGCCCTTGAAATGGCTGAGGGAAAGCCCCCCTACGGTGATATACATCCCATGCGGGCTATTTTTATGATACCTCAGAAGCCACCGCCCTCATTTCGGGAACCAGACAGATGGAGCACTGAATTTATTGACTTTGTAAGCAAATGCCTGGTAAAGGCTCCCGATGAACGTGCCACAGCTACAGAGTTACTGGAGCATGAATTCATCCGTAATGCCAAGCACCGTACCATATTGAAGACCATGCTGGAGGAGACCTGTGCCATTCGAGAACAACAGCGGGCCAATCGGGCTGCTGGCGGAGTGTTGGCCTCTAGTCAGGCCAAGAGTCTTGCCACACAGGAGAACAGTATGCTACACAACATGCAAGAGGAAGAAACAGAGTTCAACGGCACGGGCAAGACCTTCATTGATGATCCTGGCACGCTGGTACCTGAAAAATTCGGTGAATATCAGCAAAGCTCCGCTTCAGATGCAACCATGATATCGCATCCGGAGCCAGATTTTGACGAAGGCACCTTGGGACCGGGTGGCGTACGAGGTTTGAGCAGGGCAACGGCAATAACGGCAACCGGCGCGACTGCTGCGTCTGCATCATCACCTCTCGATGTACCAGCAGTCGATAGTGGAACGATGGTGGAGCTGGAGTCAAACTTGGGTAAGGAAAAACCTAAAACTAATAACAAAAACATAACGTCTAATAACATTTAATTGCTTTTCAGGAACAATGGTGATTAACTCTGACTCGGACGATTCGACAACGGCTAAGCGCAATGACGATCAGAAACCACGCAACCGGTATCGTCCTCAGTTCCTGGAGCATTTCGAACGTAAAAATGGGGGCGATGGACGGGGCGACGACAAGTCGGCGGCTACAGAGTATTCCCCAGCGGCAGCCGAGCAGCAGCAGCAGCAGCAACAACAGGAGGAGCAGCATCTGGCCAGTGGAGCCAACGATTTAAACAACTGGGAGCACAACATGGAAATGCAGTTCCAGCAGATATCCGCAATCAATCAGTACGGGATACAGCAACACCAGCAGCACCAGCAGCAGCATGTACTCATGGCCTATCCACTGATGAATGATCAGCTCATTGCCATTAACAATCAACAGAATCTTCTGCGCAACAATGCCACGCCCCTTGCTCAGCAGGGACACCCGGCTGTGGCTGCAGCTCAACCGCCGCCCGCATATCAGAACCAACATATGCATTCGCAATCGCACGCATATGTGGAGGGTGAATTTGAGTTCCTTAAGTTTCTTACCTTCGACGATCTAAATCAGCGTCTTAGCAACATTGACCACGAAATGGAGCTGGAGATTGAGCAGTTGAATAAGAAATACAATGCCAAGCGGCAGCCCATTGTGGATGCCATGAATGCAAAGCGCAAACGCCAGCAGAATATCAATAATAATCTGATTAAGATATAGAAAAATCGACTCACAACTTTGCAAGGCAACTGAAAATAGAATTTCAACTCACAAGACCCTTTGCATTGGGTGCATTCTTCCATATTGATCATTCAATACAGTGTAGAAGGCTCGAAACAAAACGCAAGATATAAAAACAAAAGCTTTATTGTAAAATGCAGTGAAAACAGGAAAGAAATGTGGTTATAAACGTCGTCGGCAAAACATACAACATACATATATTAAATAGCGCACGAACACTTATTTCCTCCTTTTTCCGTATTGATTTTGTTCAAAATTTTAGTTTTTGTTTCGTTTCATAATTTATATGATTTCGGACTTCATCTATCTTCCAACGAAGACATTCTCGAATTAACAAGATATTTTTGCATCTCGCAGCTGCCTGCATTATCTACTGCCTAAGTCCACTCCAAATTGATAAGACTCCATGAAATGTTCTTCCCGGTTAACTACTATTAACCTTAATCTCTTCCTATATTTTATACTTTTACTTGTGTCTTCGTGCAAACACAAACACACACACACACAGAAACCCGTCAAGCAATAAATATAAATAAATACGTTTTTACAACGCATAAAAATGAATATTTTTCGAAGGTATACATATTTATCAAAGCAAAATGCACTGAAGCACTCACATTTATATATATACTAGTACTTTTAGATCTTATAACTAATTTACCTAATAAATATATAGTAATATATGCAAAAAAGCTTATCAATACAAATACCTTTGTATAATATACCTATTCTTTCTTTCTTATTAACGTTAAAACCTTACAGTCCACATTCAAGTCGTTGTGCTTTGATAATGTTTTGATGAAGGTAGATTTAACTATGGTTAAAGCGCAGCTGTCATTCAAATATATACTTTGTCTAGTCTTGTATATCCATTTCTTCAGTCGCCTGTTGCATGTCCTGCAGCTGTGCACGCAAATCCTCCGGCAAACTATGCTCGTTCAAGGCACTTGGATCCTCGCCATCGACGACAATCTCTTCAACATCTGGGGCACGTGGTAAAAATTCCACATCCGTGTAGAGCTTGCCAAAGATGTGACGGGCATTGGCAATGGCATCATAATAGTCCATCTCGTAGCTAGGCGCGTCTGTATAGTAAACGATATCATCCGCGCCACCTTTATCCGGTTGTGATTGTGCAGTAAGCGTAAAGTATGAACTGAATATGATTTCTGGCTCGGCGTACTGGAAAAGCTGCAATGTAAATATCCTTAGATCGGCCGCAGGATCATCCGAAACAGCGGGTGTAGTCAGATGGAATAGGTCTGCAATTGATTTGAGCATAAGAATTAGTTCAACTTTTAGTTAGATTATCGATAGGTTCTTACACAATCCCTTCGGGCAAGCTCCAGAATAGTGCGAGAGCTGGATGAAGATGGCCTCCCGCGCTCCTTCGTTGTCCATCAAACGAAGGATATTAACACCACCGCCACCTTTATTCAGCACGTCGTTGCCCAAAGGAGTGGAGGATAGAAACAAGCCGCGAGATAGATGAGGTCGCATCACGTAGTCGCGCGATGCTGGCAGATATCTAGGAGCAGAAACCACATGTTTCGCGCGGAACGTTGTTCCAGCGCTGCTTATCAAAACTTCATTCGAGTTGACGTCCACGCTACAGTCATCCACAGATCGTTTCAAGCAATAAATGCCCCCGTATACAGCACACTGACGACAGAAGCTTTGAGGAAATTCCCCACACCCGTACATGGGATAAAGAAAGGGCGTGTTGCCATAACGACCGAGGCTGTGTAGAAATCGTTGAGTGCGCAGCATTCCCTCCTCAAAGCTAGTGTCAGGACCACACATGGCAATGGCCTGCGTCACGCATGAGGCAATCTTCTCGGTCACACGCTGCGCCTTCAGATAGTCGAAAAACGTTCTGCCCCGGAAGGCCAGAGTATCCTCGTTGCACTTGTCCTCTCCGTAGTCATTGCACGCGTTCATAAATTTCATCAGCAATCGCTTCTCCACTATAGTCAACGACTTCGTATTAAAGATATCACTGCGCGAACAGGGTACCGAAACGATCGTTCCGTTTTGATGCATACACACATTATCCACGGCACGGAATTCCGTATAGCGACAAATGTTGGACTTGATAAGCAGCTGCACCAGCTCTCCAGCGGAGTAGAGAACACGTGGGCAGAGATCAATGCAGAATCGACGCGACATGGCCAGCACTGTCTCCCGCGTCCATACCTGCCCAGTCTCTACTTTCATCTCTTCCGTTTCTGACGTGGGAGTGGCAGCAGATTGCTCGTGCCAGTGGTAGCTTCCATTGCGTAGCGTCGAGTGCGGTGCAGCTTCCCTGGCCAACAGACTTATCAGGTCTTCAATGCCTAATGAGCCCCAGACATTACCGTAGTAGTCATTGATGTCTAAATGGAGCACCGACTTGCCCACCCGACTGGCCGCCGCGGCAATGCAAGACTCAGTGAAGCCTGAAAAGGGCGTCCAGATTTGTATGACTCATTCGAACTTGAAGCTACAATCGATATCCACCTTACCTGTGCCTATGACTATTAGGTCAAACTGCTCCGGCAAGTCATCCGCCATTATAAGAGAGAGCTTGTCGAGGATCAAATTAACCGAAAGGATACGAAGAATACGAAATATAAAAATTGTTTATCGTGGGAAATTCCAAACATCTGCTTAGAGATGGACAATTATTCGATATCCGTCGAGGCAGTGCTAGCTAATCCGGCATAGAACAGCTGTTTATATTTAAAATATTTAAAATTTAATTTGCGTAGTTGTTTGGCATTAACACTTACAATTTGAAGCATTTAAAAAAAATATTTATACTTAAGACATAGTATCATAATTATGCGGTTTTCGCCGATTACTATTTCATGCAAAACCTGTACCTGTGAAATCAACAGGTGCACGAAAATGCCAGGTAGCGCAGATACACATACGCACACGCACTTGTAGTGGTGGCTGTGTTCGTATCATAGCAACGGGAAAACCGTAAACAAAAGCCGGAAAATTTTAGATCAGAGAATGAGTGCTTCTTCGGTATAGAAAATACGCTATCTTTAAGTGAGGTAATGTCGTTCGAGAAGATACTCTACAAGTACGAGGAACCGCACGGAATCGGTGACGTCTACTTCATTTGGCAAAAGGCTTTGCTTGCGACTACAGGTACAGATGGATCTGTGGCGTTGTACAATCGCCAGGGACAACTGGTGCAGCGCATTATCCTCGCAGGGTAAGACCAGCCCCCATAAGTTGTACTCAAAATATATTTATCTGCCTTAAAATTGTTCCATCAGGCTCTGTTCAGGATTTGCATGGGACAATGAGGGGGATCTGCTGGGAATCATCACAAGCGGCTCCCCGAACATTACTCTCTGGGACTATGGCACGCAGGAAAAGATCAGCGTTGAAACTGGACTGCGAGATCCTCTCACGTGCATTTTGTGGTCAAAACAGCAACAGTTGCTGGCCGTAGGCACGGGGCGAGGAAACTTGGCGATCTACAATCACCGCAGTGGAAAGCGTCCAACCCCGGTTCTGGGTAAGCACAGCAAGCGAATAACCTGTGGCGCCTGGTCGGCACAGAATCTTCTCGCGCTTGGATCGGAGGACAAAAGCTTTTCGCTGAGCAACGAGGATGGCGACACCGTGCGGGTGGTCCAGCTGCGAGATGCACCCACCGATATGTATTTCGCGGAAATGGCAAATGATGATCGGATAGCTGGGGACAATGCAATCAGCATGATTATTGGAAAACGGACTTTGTTCCTCTACTACTTACCAGACCCGGAAAATCCCACAGAACTGGGATTTCAGAGTCGCTACGGCTCGCTGCTTCAGCACAAATGGTTCGGAGACGGCTATATATTGCTGGGGTTCTCAAACGGACATGTGGTGGCCATTTCCACGCACCCCAAAGACGTGGGACAGGAGCTTTGGCAGGTTAAGAATCATAAGGACACGTTGACCGGCTTGGCCTATTGCCCCACATTAGATATCGTGGCCTCTTGTGGAGATGACAGGTAAGTAAATGACTAAATGTCTGAAGTAAATGGCTAAATGTTGATATTAATTCAATCATACTATCATCTACCCGCAGCATAAAAATACACTCGATTACAAACCTGCAAGAGACCGAGCGCATCATCACTGTGCCAGATCATGCTGGTGTCCAAATGATCGACTGGTCACCGGATGGTCAACTACTGGCAGTAACAACGAATAGTGGTACCGTCTATATCTATGTAACCAAGCTTCCTCAAATATTTGCCGTCTCCGCACCCCGGATCGTTATGCTCAGCAGTCTGGCAGAGGTTTCCATTTATGTATACGCGCCGGATAAGTCCAAGCCACTGCCCTTTCGATTGCCCCTGGAGGGAGAACCTACTTTTATAGCTGTTGGCCCGTATAACTTTGCTGCTGGCATCGACAAGCATGTTTGGTTCTACGCTCTGGGAAGGACCCTGGGCGAAGAGCCCCGTCCGATGAGTGAGCGAGACTTCCCACGGAATGTTTCAAGTATGAAGATGAATGCTGAGTACTGTGCAGCCCTCTGTCCGCCTCAGTTGATCCTGCAGGCTATTACTGCAGACAATCCCAATTGCAAGGACAAGCTACAGGCCACTTTTCCCAGCGCCCTCCCGAACATGCCCAACGATGCAGTGATCACGTGTTTTGCTTTGAGTCAGGAACTGTTGGTATTTGCAACCGATGTGAGTGTTGACCCTGTCCAGGTACTCGTATTACATTACAGCCGTATGGTATTGTCTCTTTTAGATTGGCCACCTAGTATTCTACTCTCTTGAAAAATGGGACAGTTGTACAATCTACCGTCATAGCATGGGTATTCGCCAGATGTTTATGGACATTGAAGGAACTAAGATCATTTTCATTGACGATCATGCTCAAGGACATCTGTTTCTACCCGCGCTGGATGAAGCCTTGCTTATACCGGACATTGCGAAGCAGTGCCTCGGCTGTCTTTGGGATCTCACGCAGCCAAATATTTTCATTAGCTACGATACAAAAATTGTGAACACCCACGTATTTGTTCGCCATTCCGTGCAGGGCACACACACCATCAAGGTGGGCGAGTCCAAGCTAAATCCTGGGCAATTTCCGCTGCTACTCTGCGGCGGCGAAATGGCCCTCCACGTGGATGGCGGACAGTATGCCACGCAATCCCTCAGCACCCATGTGGTGAATCCCAGCAACAGCCAGACTGCGAACCTGCAACTGCTTCTACGCCTCAGGAACTATGACGAGGCGTACAAGCTGTGCGAGCAGATGAACTTGAGCAGCGCATGGCGAGAGTTTGGCGAACAGGCCACTTCTGATCTAGAGCCGGATATTGGTAATATTACAACTTCTCATCATTCCCATAACATCCTGTGGTTGATCGACATCCGATTATTCAATAGCTATTCGGGCCTATCGACAATTGGGTGACGCTGCTCTGGTAAATGCGTTGGGTGAGCTCCGATATGTGGAGGACCTGGACATGCTGATCGGGTGCTGCTGCACGATTTTGGCCCAGTACGAGCAGGCCAAGGAACATATGCTCAAGGGTGTATATACAAGGGCAGCCTTGGAACTGTGTAGAGACCTCCTCCAATGGGATCAGGCTCTTCTTCTGGCGCACAAGCATGACCCGCAAGAAGTTCCCTACATAGCGAGAGAATATGCCCAGCAGCTGGAATTCACGTATGATATATATCCGTATAAGAACAATCAAAGGTCATGATTTTCATGTTTAAACTTTGCTTTAAAGTGGTAACTATGCGGATGCCCTATATCACTACGAGAAGGGTTACAAGGAGGATTTAATCAACGACAAGGATGCTGAGCAGTCCGCTACGATGGAAAGCACACCTGAGTTCCAGGATCATGTACGCCTCTGCAAGATGGGCATTGCCCGAACTTCAATACGTGCCGGGGATTTTAGACGAGGCGTAAGCCATTTGATCTATCTGAGAATTTGGACAAAAAGTGTATTTACATCTCCTTCAATAGATTCAATATGCCGTAGAGCTCATGGATAAGCAGCTCCTCTTCGACTGTGCGGAGTTATTGGCTACGGTCGGACATCTAACAGAGGCTGCGGGACTCTATGAACGTGGAGGGTTTTATGATGAGGCCTGTGGCCACTACATAGCCCTGAAGATGTGGCATAAGGCCAACAATGTACTTTCCAAGGTGAAGAGTAGCAAATTACATGCATCCTATGCCAGGGCCAAAGAGAGCGACGGCCATTTCGAAGAAGCAATACGGTGTTATCGCATAGCCGGAGACTTGGATGCTTGCGTTAGAATATACCTTGATCATTTGTGTGATCCTCATGCAGCGTCAGAAATTGTTTTAGAATCACGATCAATGGACGCGGCAAAACTGCTGGCCAAGTTCTATCAGAAGATTGGAGATATCGAACAGGCTCTTCAGTTTCTCGTTATCTGCGGCTGTGTGGAGGAAGCCTTTGCTCTTGCCCAGCGCCACAACAAGCTGCGCCGGCATGGCGAACTCCTGGAACGCTATGAAAATGCGAAATCCTCCGACTATCTGGCCTTGGCTCACTACTTCGAAAGTGAGAAATATACATTGCAGGCTGGAAAGTATTACTTCTTGGCACGTGAGTTTACCAAGTCCTTGAGACTTCTGCTGAAAGCCTCTGCGTTCAACAATGAGGAGCAGCTAGCTCTCTCCCTGGCAATCGACTGTGTGGCTACATCGAACAACGAGCAGCTGGCCTCGCAACTCATCGAGTTTCTCTTGGGTGAGTTGGATGGTGTTCCCAAGGATCCACGCTACCTGTTCCGCTTGTATATGGCTCGAAAGCACTATAAAGATGCGGCCAAGACGGCCGTGATAATTGCCAATCAAGAGCAGATCGCCGGAAACTACAAATCCGCTAGGGACCTCCTTTATTCGATGTACCAGGAACTTCGCCGCAACAACCTATCTGTATCGGCCGAAATGCGGCACAATTTGATCCTGCTCCACCGTTACACGCTGGTCCGTATTCATGTGAAGCTGGGTAATCATCTCCTGGCTGCCAAGCTACTCGTTCAAGTGGCTTCTTGCATATCCCAGTTTCCCGAGCGTAAGAATGGAGTCAATTGTATTGGGATTTGATTGAAATTTTCATTGCCTTTCCAGACATTATCCCTATTCTCACCTCCACGGTCATTGAGTGTCAGCGGGCAGGTCTCAAGAAGTCTGCGTTCACCTATGCCTCCACGTTGATGCGTCCGGACTACCGCAATCAACTGGATACTCGCTATGCAAAGAAAATTGAATCTGTCGTCCGGAAGGCTCCCAAGGGCATTAAGCAGTTGCGGGATGAGATAGACGATGAGACCATGGAGTGTCCCATATGCGACTCCAACTTGGCCAATATGGAAGTGACGTGCTACAGCTGCAAGACTACGCTACCCATCTGCATAGCTACGGGTCAGCACATCATCAAAACGCTCATGACCTCCTGTCCGCAATGCGATTTTCTCTGCTTTCGTGCCGAGATGGAAAAGTGAGTATAAACTGTTGAAAAGGTCAAGTGTGGATTATTATACTTCTTCTTTCAGAATACTCTCGGAGAATGGCGAGTGCCCCATGTGCGGGGAGCAAGTGGCCCCCGAGCAACTGCTGGATGTGGAAGACATACGCCCATACATCCTGGCCGCATCTTAAGACCGAAGGACTCTATATAGGACTTGAAAAAACGAATAGACTGCACAACACCACAGAACACCAAATAATAGATATAAGTTTCAAGCACAAATCCCACTTTATAAATCACAAGACTAATCGTTTGCAAATAAATAAACAGCCTTGCTGCAAGAAAATATTTCGCTGTTGAACTACAGCCAAGACAATTAACAAGTTTTTATCCATTTTCATAAAAAAAGAACAAATCTTCCGCACAAAAGCTTTGACTCAAAAACTCAACAATGGTCAAAAACGAAATATTTCAGATCTGGCGGACACTAGGCAGAACAGAAATCAGAAGCAAGAAACTTTAGAAGGAAAAATGAGTTGCATACTTCTGGGCCTCAAAACAGATAATTTAATAAACAACATTTTTGAAAAACCACCGACTGACCTTTTGATTATTTCTATTCGCCTGGTATCCTGGTATCCCAGATCTGAAAATCGAAACAATCTCTGTTTTGAGGGCCACCCAATTGAAAGTAGTAGTTGTTTGTGTGATTGAAATTACATCCTTAATCAGATGAAGACTTTATTAGGGACCAACGATCAAGGATATTTTCTGTTTTCTCCATTTTTCTGAAATTCGAAAAATCATTTTATCCTTTGGTAAGGACTGAAACAAGCCCAGCCATTCATATTTCCCCGATTCTGGGCAACGATGACTTTTCAAAACTAAGCATAATAAAAAAAACGAGGGGGAACGTTGTGAGTTGCTGCGGACACCGCAACTCTACAGTTATACCCGATACTAAGTCAGTATGGCTCTCCTCCGGCAGACGCCGCTAATATTAAACGACACGACAAAGAGTGCGTGCGAGAGAGACAAAAAATCAGTCTGAGCGTGACGTCGGGCGCTGCGTAGCCACTGCAAATTGATTTGTTCCTTTTGGCTACAAAAATTATCTGATCTGATCCAGATTCAGCAATCTGATAGATATGGTCGTTATCTATGATTCTGCGTTTTTAGTTTTCTCAAATCTGCAATATTGTGGATGCAACAGATTTTCGTCCTTTGTGTGGGCGGAAGGGGGTGGGGCGAAATTTTGAGATATACGTTTTATAGTGAGATCTAACAGGAGTGCGGATACCAAATTTGGTTACTCTAGCCTTAATAGTCTCTGAGATTTATGAATATCCCCAGATCTGCATCCTTTGCGGGGGTGGAAGGGGGTGTGGCGAAATTTTGAAACAAACTCGTCTCGGTCCGATATATTAGGAGTGTGGATACCAAATTTGGTTGCACTAGCTTTTATAGTCTCTGAGATCTAGGCGCTAATGTTTTACTCTAAGCAAAGCCGCCTATGCTACGTGTGTGTTAGAGAGAGACAGGGCGAGAAAAAATGAAATTGTTTTCTTGATGCTGGCTATAATAATAATACGATCCAATTCAGATTCCGCAGTCTAAAAGATATCGTCATTCTCTACGATTCTGCGTTTTTAGTTTTCTCGTATCTTTAAAATTGTGGATGCCACAGATTTTCGCCCTTTGTGGGGGCGGAAGTGGGCGGGGCAAAGTTTTGAAATATTTTTGTAGCAGTGACATATCACAGAAGTCTGGATCCAAAACATCGTTGCTCTAGCTCTTATAGTCTTTGAGCATTAGGCGCTGAAGGGGACGGACAGACGGACAGACGGACGGACGGACAGACGGACAGACGGACAGACAGACATGGCTCAATCGACTCGGCTATTGATGCTGATCAAGAATATATATACTTTATGGGGTCGGAAACGATTCCTTCTGGACGTTACACACATACACTTTTACCACAAATCTAATATACCCCAATACTCATTTTGAGTATCGGGTATAATAAACAATGGAAAATATTTGAACCTATCTTAAACATAACAACAACGATATCTATCTAGAGTCTAGTAACCTGCAAAGCATCTCCCCTGGTGGCCATAGTCAAAGTCGTTGTTGTCGATGGCCAGGTCGAAGGATGACGATCGGATCTTGCAAGGGATGCGATTCTGTCCTGGTGGAATACTATTCTGTCTGGCTGGGACAGGACTCGGTCTGTCGCGGACACGCCTCAGTAATGCTTGGATAGGACTCCGGTTGGCGAGATACGACTCGGTTTGTGGCAAGGCTTAGGGTGCATAAGTCATCTGTGAAGGAATATATATCTTATAATATATCCACATACATATATCCGCTGAAGTCCAGCGTTTGAGTCGGACAGCCGTATTGAGTATCGTTCCGGCCGCCTGAAGGCGCGCGCGCCATTTTCCTCAGAAGGAATAAAACTTTCGTAATCACTATCGGGAGGGGCTCCCAGGGTCTTCGGCTCTGGCGTTTAGCTACCGCTAGCCAGCCCAGCTTTCTCATACTTGCGCATCAAACTTGAAATCATTACAGACACGCAGGCCAGCGCAGGCCAGCAAGTCTCGGGGGAACGGTGCCATTTTTGGACAGATGTGAAACACCATCCATCAAAGATTTAAGATTTGTCAATTGTCTTGGCTGTGGTTCAACAGCAAAATATTTTTTTTAACCAAGATTTATTGAAGCGCCTAAGTGGTCAATTAGCACCAGACTGCCAAATTGGCTATCAAAATCATTTCCTCATATGAAATACACACCTGGGAGTACAAAAAGAGAGCTACACACTCAACTACTCAGCAACTACTTGAAACGTTGGATCATCTAAGAAATCCAAGGAGGCCCCCTTTTTTCCATTTTCTTAGACCATTATGGTCGACCTGTAAATTACAAGCCAGGTGCACAGGTGCCAATTTCATTCTATATATAAATGCAATTAATTGAGCTTTCACGATTCCAGCTCGTGTGTTCGATATTTTTGGTGGAGACATTATTTATAATCAATTTGGTGAACCATTTATTGATGGAGACTTGGGTATTTTAGATATAAATATAATTTGGTATGGGTATATATTTAGATAGGTAAATGTATGAATATTTAACATTATAAGGTACTTTTTGGTGTGGAAGCCACTCGGCTATACAATAATTATTCCCTAGTCTAATGCGTAACGATCATCATCTTCAGTCTGTAATCTCACATCCAGTTTGGAGCAGGACCGTCGTTTAGCCAAAGAAGTTGGGGACGAACAGCTTCTTGCGCTTGGTGCGGGTCTCTCTGACGCGAACGAGTGGAGTGAACCTCACATTGGAGGGCAGATCACCAACCTGTTGGTTGGCATCTTGGCGACGGGTGTAGGGTCTTGTCCCGGTGGAGACTGGCGCAATGTAACCGTCATCCACATAGTAGTAGCCTGGATTGAGCTTCTTCAGGCGGTTCTCTGTCAGGGGCTTGCCATAGGAGAGGGCGTAGGAGTTGCCCGTGTCATAGCGATCGGTGTCATAGTTCTCGTAGCTATCCAGGTCATAGTATGTGGGCTTGGCGCTGCACTGTGAGAGTTTGCAGGCGATGATGCTGAGCAGGAGACAGGCCCATGTATACAGTTGCTATAGAGAGATGGGGAGAGTTTGGAGTTAGTCGGGTTGGCTGGAGATGGCTGTGGCGCGGTAGCGGATGCTTACCTTAAGATCCATTGTGTGGTTTGAACTGCTATAATCTTTTGAAATCCAAAATTGCGTGTGGTATCCTTTAGGTGTTGGGTGATTGTGTTGCTTGTGGTTGCTTTGCTGTGAGTGCCTTGAACGTCTGTTGAGTTCTGTGGTCTTAGCAGTGAAGAACCCTTCCTTTATATACGAATATGCTGCCCTGTTCGCACCCAAATGTGAAAATTTTGCCTTCGGGCAGAGCCGATGCTCCAGCTATGACGCAAGTCCGGAGGAAACGCTTGGTGGCTGCGACAAATCGACAATCGACGAACGACACTCGACTTCTCAACTCTCTTTCATTGACGCCATACCGCCGTCGTCTGGCTTTTGCGCATGCGCCGCCGCTGTGACTTCAATTCGATACGAATCGTTGGGATCATTGGGATGGGCTGTTGTCTTATCACTATGTGATTCATTTGGTCGAAAGGCTCTAATTGCCGGTTGCAATGTTTCGGTTAGCAGGGAACGGGTCCAGTTTGATTCGGAAAACTTTTTACAATGCGGAAAGATACGACACTCAAAATTCCCCCACTGTCTGGCTTTGTCTTTCAAACAAACATATTAATTAAATGCTTTCCAAATGTCTATCGGATTCGAGGTCGGAAAGATACGCTACTTAGATCTGACGGAGTTTCTTAATATATTATATTAATATATTAATTATTTGTTTTCAATACTTTGACGTCAAAACAAAGTCGAGAGTGTGCGACCGAGTGTGCGGAAAGATACCTACAGATCAAATAAAATTCCTATGTTGTGTATATATCTTGACTTTGTTTTATAAATTTATTGTTTTCTTGGTTACTTATTTCGGCATTTTAGGGTGAAAGAGGACCAGACTAGGTAACTAGGTAGTTTCAGCAGGTTTTTGATGGTTTTGCGGAACACATGGCGTTTAAGTAACACATATGGCTGTGTACCAGGCGCTGTGGTCGGGAGTGGTAATTTCCGTGTGGTCACATAAAATCCCTATATTATGTATATATATAAATTAGTTTTATTAATTTATTGTTTATTTGGTTACTTATTTTGGCATCCAGCTAATGTCTAGGGTGAACGAGGCCAGACGAAAATAACTAGGTAGTTTCAGCAGGTTTTGGATGGTTTTGCGGGACACATGGCGTATGAGTAACATATATGGCTGTGTACCAGGCGCTGTGGTCGGGAGTGGTAATTTCCGTGTGGTGACATAAAATCCCTATATTGTGTATATTGATGAATTAGTTTTATTAATTTATTGTTTATTTGGTTTCTTATTTTGGCATCCAGCTAATGTCTAGGGTGAACGAGGCCCAGACGAACTTAACTAGGTAGTTTCAGCAGGTTTTCGATGGTTTTGCGGAACACATGGCGTATGAGTAACACAAATGGCTGTGTACCAGGCGCTGTGGTCGGGAGTGGTAATTTCCGTGTGGTCACATAAAATCCCTATGTTGTGTGTTTTGCTTGAATTAGTTGTATTAATTTTTCGTTTATTTGTTTACTTATTTTGGCATCAAGCTAGTGTCTAGGGTGAACGAGGCCCAGACGAAAATAACTAGGTAGTTTTAGCTGGTTTTTGATGGTTTTGCGGGACACACGGCGTATGAGTAACATATATGGGTGTGTACCAGGCGCTGTGGTCGGGAGTGGTAATTTTCGTGTGGTCAGGTCACACGCTAAATCTAAATCGAGACTCCCTAATATCGTTGTAATATTGCGACGTTCAGAGCTTTTATTATAAATCAGCACAGATACGCAAATGGGGTTGGCGCCTTCCGAAAATACTCCACTAACTTAAAAATATCCAACCGCAATGCTTCATGCCGCCGCGGCGTGAAAATGTTGCTGACTCAAGTGAGAAATATAAAATTTTCTGGAAAAATATGAGCATTCGAACACGGACCGGACTCTAAAAAATTAGCAAATGTGGTCAGTCTTTTGGAAGGGGCCTGAGTCTGAGTCGCAGCTACCAAAAAGGGGGCATGATTTCATAGCTGGGGTACTCATAAATTAATTACGAACACCAATGAATTGGTCTTCTGTAAACCGTCGTTAAGTAGATGAAATTAGTTCCGGAAAAGACTAATGCTTGGACATAAATTAATTCGCACTTAATTATCTTCAGATGCTTAGAAGATTTGCTCGAGTCGGTAAATATAAACGTGCTAATTCAATAAATTTATAAACAATTTATATAAATATAATTCCCAAGACGCCTGTCTCAGAGTCATAACAACATTTTCGTTGTTTTCCACAACAGTTCGTCTTTTCCCCCTCGCAAAATACCGCGCTGAGTAAATATTTTTGCCAACTCCAACATCAGCAACAGCAGAAAGGTGTGAAAATCGGCAGAGAAAAAGGAAAACATCAGCAATGAAATCGAGTTCAGCTTGCATTACGTATACGCACGATTGGCTGCACTAACAGTAAGTCGATATGGAGTCGATCAGATTGACTGCTCTGGGAGCACGTTTTTTCCAGCACGCTTTTGTGTCACACCCCCACAAATGCTTGGAAGTTGGTGCAAAATATCAGATGCTCTGGCTAATTTATGCCCGACGTCCGACAAACATTTTGTAGTCAGGTCCGATCATCCACCCTCCAGCTGCTCGGTAAATTTCCTTAGACTTGACTTCTTTGTTAGATTTCAGTTGTTGAGTGCAGTCCATGTGGCAATGTAAATATCTAAATTTGCCGCCTTCCAGTACTTTAATATTGATTTTAGCACGATTTTCGCCTATTCAATCACTGGTGTGAATTTGTATTACAATGATTTGTGGAAAATTTCATGTCTGCCACCTCAGGGATCAATGGAGCTGGGCGGATCAGGGATTGAAACTATGAAGTAACATACAGTTAATAGCTTTCAACCAGTTTCTCGCTGCTAGAAGGTATTACAACTGGCTGCTATGGATATATAAAACCTGACTGCCAGAAGGAGCTCATACCTTCCCTATACCTCATGGAATGGGTGTTACAGCGTTAGTCAAGTGGAGCACGTTTCTGTGAATTATCTCGAATTATTTCGATCTTGGCCGCAAACAAGACAAACACATTGCCATGAAGTGCAAAATTCTTGGTCTCCTAACCGATTAGTCAAACAGCCAGGAAAACAAGGGAGCCACGGGCAAATATTTAGCTGGTAATCTCTTAGGCACATATTGTGTTTGTATGACTATGAGAAGCATGTTTGTTATGACCGGTTAACTCTGTAAGCACGATCTATTGGGTGCTCCAGATGGCTTACGCCGGAAGACGGAACAATGAATAAGGTTTATTCGCTGGTACCTTGTAAACGACCCTCGAGAATCGCTTACAAATAAACAAGTTCACTTCCTTGTTGACAAAAATAGTTTGTGCAGCAACACAAATGTGATAGCTCAAGCCTCTTATTAGCGGCTAACGTGTGAATCGCATCCGATTGAGCGTGCCCTCACGTGCAGTCTATTCCCGGCGCAAGGGTTCGGTTGGTTTGGCCACGCTTGTATAACCAGCATGCCATTCGGGAAACCCAGCATCTCTTTCATCTCAACTAAATGCCAGGACACGTTGCTGCAAGTGCGTCACTGGCGTTTTAAAACTTCATTATCGAGATATTCCCATCATGCTAACGCCGGGCCGGTGTATCGTACTTTATCCACAACAGGTATTCCACAATATAGAGATGCGTCTCTGCTATTAGTTGCAATTAAATCACGATTAGCAGTGTGTCTAATGAACTGGCGACTGCGCCACGCTTAATACAGTTTGAGGAACGTTTTATAAACGTGTTTTCGGCAAACATGTGTCCCCACATCACAAGACCAATCAATCGTATAGTTTTGATTTCATTCACTAGGCAACTTAGTATAGCTTATAACAAGTAAGATGCGGAAACAAAATGATGCTACTTTTTCTGCTTCAGCATCAGATGGCCCTTGGGCTTCAATTTGTTCTGGATGATGCGCTGCTTCTCTGTGGCGGCTGCAACTCTCTGGCGTTCGTACCTCTGCTTGGCAAACTCCAGCTCGCCGCTCAGCTCGACGATTTTGGTGGCGATCTCTTGTTGCCTCTCCAGGCGTTTTTTCTGGTTGGACTAAAACAATAACCAAATTAGTTGGCAGTTCGGATTTCGCAATATCTTATACATACACCCAGTGGCGTCGGTCGTCCGTCAAGGAACGTGTAGTCCGGCAAATTGGTGAGTGGCCCAAATGCATTCGGATTCTCTGGGAGCCCCTTGTCCTCTCTCCACTTCTGATCAATGGCACGAGCGGTGGTGACAGCGACATAACGCTGGGCTATTGGGGGAACAGAGTTCATGAATTAATGTGCAACGAGATACGTTCTGATACGCAACTCACCAGTGATTCTACCTGAAGTGGCAAGACACAGCTTGGTGATTTGTAGCATTATGTTATTTGTGGAGCAGCGGCAAAACCCGAAAATACGTAACATAACCAAACACTGCAATTGAGATGGGAGTGCTTCGATAAATGACGCGACAGATGGTATATTTACGGTATATCGGTATACAGTGGTATATTTTATTATTTTCATAAATCCATTAAATTTCATTTTCAACATTATATAAAAATCCAATAAAAGCAAGTGTTTAAAATAAACCAGTTGATTAGAAAATAGATTCACTAATCGTATAAAATTGAGTGGGCATGGCTTAATTTTCTATATAGATAGTATTATTCAACGGAAGAAAGAAAATGAGGAATTGGTTGTTTTTTTTCAATCGGTAATGGCCCGATTCACAACAAATAGTCCCATTCCATACACAAACATGTTGCTAATTCCATGCACACATACCCTGGGGGAAATGGATGATATAGAATTGCGGAAATGTGTGTCATTCCAGGCTCTAATTAATGCAGAAACTAGTCAGTATCTATTTTAAACGATATTTTGCAATTAGTGGTCTTCTTACAGAGACCAAGAACTGGTACTGGGATCAGGATTTATTTACAAACACCTTATCAAATGCATGAATAGACCAAAAAAATGCAATCTAAGACAAGGTCTTTACTAATTACGTTTGAAAGCAGGTTGGAAAACAGTATCTTTAAAAAATATTCACGAAATAGGGTATACAAACGCCCATACCCTGGTTGACAATAAATTAGTCCGCAAAAACCAGCAACATTGACGTCACAACCTGCAACTATTGAACATTTTTGTTAAAATCGTGTTTTTGTCAAAACAAAAAACATGCGAGTATTTGAAAGTAGTTAATCCTGATCAAAATTGATTCAGCAATCATATAAAATTATCTGGGCAAAACTGAGAGATCTATTAAGCTACGAATATTCGACGGAAGAAAGAATAACCAGGAATTAGTCGTCATAACCGGTTCACAGCAATGAGTCCCATTCATGCACACATACCCTGGAAATGGATGTTATAGAGTTGAGAAAATGTTTGTCTTCCCAGGCTCCAAAGAAGGCAAAAACAATTTAGTCTCTGTTTTTAACATATTTCAACGATATTTGAAACTTATTTTTTTCTTGCAGGGACCAGGAATAGGTATCAGGATCGAGACATATATATACAATACACTATTAATAAACATGAATATGTCTAAAAAATGTCATTTTGAGAAAAGGTCTTTGTTAGTTACGTTTTATCTTCATATCATATCAAAAATATCATATCTTATAAAATTAACAAAATAGGGTATGTTAATGCTATACTAGGGCTTACACGCAACATAGCGACTGTTTTTTTTGTTGAACTATTTTGTTTAAGCCTTGCTTTAGTCAAAATACAACAAAAGCAAGGACTAAAAACTAACCAATTGTGTAGAAAATGTATTCATCAATGGGCTAAAATTATGTGAGCATGGCTAAATGTTCTATATAGCTAGTAATATTCCACGGAATATCAAAATCGAGGAATATGTAAAATAGAACTGTTATATTTACGGTATATTTTTTAAAAGAGACGGTATATTTTGGTATATTTCTGAGGGTTGGACGGAATATTTCAGCGATAAATCCGCGGTCACACTTGATAGTGATAAAAAAAAATTAATTAACAATAATTTAAGTGGGTCATCATAACTGAAATTCATAATGTCAACCAAAACGAATACTATTGAGCGGCATGGAAACGGTGGCGCTAAATCATCCACACTGAAAGAAATATGCGCGCGCGCCATCACAAAATCCGAATGGGAGGACAAGGTAAGAAACGTCCGGAGCACCGACCTGTGCACCAAAGACCGCGTGCAGGCCAGGGCCAGGGTTCATTCTTCGACTTTTGCAGGAGGAATTCCTAGATGTCATCTATTGGTCGCGACAGGTGTTCGGCATTATCCTTGGTGTCATCTGGGGCATTGTGCCGCTCAAAGGCTTCCTGGGTCTTGTGCTGTAAGTGGGCCGGACTATAAATAGACTATTCATATTCACATCGAATGCATAAACTTGTCCACAGTTTCGCCGGTATCAGCTGTGGCATTGTCTACCTGTACGCCATCAACTTTCAGAACGTAGACGAGGAAGCGTACGGCGGTGTTTGGGAATTGGTGAAGGAGGGATTCATGACATCGTTTGCCGGATTCTTGGTGACGTGGATCATTTTCTACACGGGACTGCACTACGACTCGATAATGGCAGCAAAGTCCTCATAATGCATTTCCCAGCCACTCGTCGCCGCACTAGAGCAGTAACCAATTCCAGAGTCCAATATCAATACAACTATACCCGCAGATCCACTTGTGAAGCCAAAATAAGCTAAACCGTTTTGTCCTTTTTTAAAATCAGTGTAGATTGTTAAACTTTAGTGAATTACTATCATGTGTGCATTTGAATGGTGGTCAGCTGTTCTGTATCATCGCCAGACGGAGATTTTTCTGTGAAAGATCCATCCCGGTCATCGGCACTACTTGAGAATCAGAAACAATATATATATTTGTGTATGTATGTATATCTAGCGTGCAGAAAATGGGGATACAATTTTTCACGATTTTTTATTACAATATATTGTTCTACAGTTAAAATGTAGCTGACAGCTATGGGAAATCCTAGTAATCCATGGCCACCGGCTCCGACCCATTGTGCGATGATCCGTTTTGCCCCAGGTCCTTTTCGTGCTGGAATTTCTCCGGCAGCTGCCCGCTCTGTAGTATTTGCGACAGCCGTTCCACCTCTGCCAGAGAACTGGCCCGCTTGATGGCCTCGCGTATGCGCTGCATATCCTCCGGATTGGCAAATCGACCACCATCAGATCCCCGCCCTTTGCCGCTACTCGCTTCGGCTGCCAGTGCTGCGGCAGCGCTCAGCTTTGACTTTTTGGAAACCTCCCTGAGCATGTCCTTGCCCTGCTTTGTGCGGAAGAACTCCTGAGCCGCTTGCCTGTCTTTCTGCTTTATCTTCCGGAAATCAAGCAGGCGCAGATGCGGAAACTTGTAGGCCATGTACTCGCGATAGTTGGTCTTTGTGGAGACCGGGTTGATTAGCAGGCATATGGTTTCCAGCTTGGTGAACGAACCGAGTGGCTCCAAGTCGCTGAGCTCCTGCAAGTTATTGCCCGTCAGAATGATGGAGCTCAGATTGGGAATAACGGCCTCCAGGCCCTCGCTGATGCGCAAAATGCGATTGTTGTTCAGCAGCAGGCACTTGAGACGCGGTAGGTGCGGCAGATTGTCCAGCTTCCTCAAATCGTTGTCCGACAAGTCAATGGTGTCGAACTGGTCCAGAGTAGCACCAAGATTTTCGATCTGTGGAATTTTGTAGCCGCGCAAATCGAGCTCCCGCTCCCTGCACGGATTTATGTATTGCATGGACTGGTTTATCAACTCCGGCGTAAGCTTCACCATAGTGTCTGTGCTTATTTATAATAGTTTACTCAAAAAACGCTATTGAATGGACAATATTTTTCACAGAAAATACAGTAAAAAACGAAGCGATTCCGACGCGTGCAATGTGACCGCCGGTTTACTGATGAAAAAACAAACTTAGCCGACTTAAGCCCCCTACATTTAAATAGTTCAACTACTTGAGGTAAATGGCGGAAGATATTAACGATTGTAAATTCTTCCTGTAGATTCATGCCATCTCTTCTCTGAACTTCAAAAAACACCACGATATCTTTCCCCTGAACTGCGCTAATATTAGTAAATTTTCTTTACTTTCGGTGGATTATTAACATAACCCCGTGGCTTACAATGGGTTAATCGTTTTCCGTCGATAGATAGAACCGCCAGCCCTGAAAAAATTTTGACCAGATTAATGAATCAAAAATTCTACTTAACTGTCTTATTCTAAATACTTGCATTTATTGGATTTTGTCTAAATAAAGGTTTACTGAAAAAGGTGAAACAAATAAACGAAAGGGAATAATCGTTCCTATTGCTCAATTTTGTTATTCTGTTGAATAATGCTGGCTAACTAGGACCTTCAGCTCTTTTCAAATAGTTTTATGTCATTGATGAATAAAATTTCCGCAAGATTTGCTACTTTTATTACATTTTTCTTAAATAAGGTTTAAAAAATTAATTGAAAGCACAAAAACGTAAGTGTGCAAGGAATGAAACGTAAGTATGTCTCGAATGTTACGTCATTGTTGCTGGTCAAATGAATCCGCTACGAGTATTTATACTCTATTTCACGGTAAAATTCTTTTTCCAAGCTAATTTGAATATTGCTCCCGATACCTAATGTTGGTCTCTGTAAGAAGGCCACTAATAACAGAGACTGACTATTTCTGTATTCATTAGAGCCTCGGATGACAAACATTTTCGCAATTCTATAATATCCTTTCCCTAGGGTGTGCAGAATCGCGCGCACTTTTTGCGGGACATGTTCTAGGAAAATTGAATGTTCCCAACGGTAAAAAACGTAAAGTGTGGAATGAAAAAACTTAACCCACTATTTAAAATATCGACGACGACCCAAAACTATTTTATATAATAGAAAAATATCGGTATCGATGGTGCAAGTAGTGGCGGTTTTGTATCGAAGTTTGAAAGGGAAACGCAGGGCTAAATTGTTGTTTTCCATTTAATTTGAATTTCAATAGATTACAATGAAGTTTTAATTGCTTAACCATAATGAACACGTAAAGTATTTCGTATTTTCGTTTCATTTGTGTCTAAGTTGAATGGCAAACAATTGAGCCAACTATGGGAGATATCGGGCAACACTTTAAACTCGAAGTGCGTGTGTTCGGTGGAGGTGGACTGGGTCAAACTCTCTTGGATAAAACTTCCTGTGTCATTCGTGCAAACTACTTGATCTTCATCTCGAGTATATAGTAGTATGTTTACTGTACTTTTAAATGCATTGGGTAATTCGTTATCGTTCACATATAGTAATTTCTTAGCGTAAATTGTTAACTTTGTATAAAAAATCAGAGCAGAGCTTCTCAGTAAATAAATGCATACGTTCTTTGTCGCAAACGGCGCTTGAATATTTGAAACGGATTGTCGTTTTAATACCACACACATGTATGTACCTATATATACATATGTACGTGTATAGTTGTAAGGAAAATGAAAACTATTGAAATAATAAACGATAAATACGTGTATTTGGAAGCAGTTATAAAAAATATTGTATTTCATTTCGATTTGTTTAGGTGTAGGCCATTAAAATAGTTCGTATGCACGCAATCGATCTACATAAAGTGTATACATCGTATAATCTCTCCATATCTCTCATTCATAGATACATATCATATCATATTCATTGCGCTCCTTCGTTAGTTTCATTGAAATTGTTTAATAGCACGCGCTAAAAATAGATTTCTTTTAGTTCTGTATATAATTGGCACTTAAATCATTTAAAATACATAAAATATAAAATATAGTACACAAAAACATCTTTATAAATATGCAAAGGTTAATTTGGATAAAATGTAGGTTATATAGTAGGTATGTATATCAATAAATAAATCACGTTCATTCCACAAAATTGCCAAAGGAAAACAATACACACGCGCCATTGCACATAAATTAATGGTTCAGTACGAATAAGTTGCAACCTCGTTTCCGTTACCGTCTCTACATATCTTCTCGTCTTAAACATATCATCATCTAATCATCCCTTTGGATCGATCGATCACACAAAACTGTGGCCGGCTCTCGGATGGGATGGGGCGGGGTCGGAGTTAGGGTGGGCCAGGGACGATCTAAAGGAATGTTGAGCATATAACTAGAAAACTTATAAATCAACGACATCCTCCTTTGTGTAGGGCGTAGTCTCTCTAAACATGCGTCGTGTCGAGGTGGTGCGCTGCAGGTCTTCAGCTAATGTCTCCTGTTCGGATGGGCAGAGGTTAAACGTGTGTATACGTTATTTTCGTATTTCTCAGCTTAACAATTACTATGACAACAGGCAACATACAGATGCAGGATGAGTGCTAGTGACATGCAACCTAGGGACTACACACTAGACAACAAATGTTAGACGCACAGGATGAGCAACCGAAACAACGAGGCCACCAAAAATTTCGAACGGCGATTCATGATTGAAGCAGCTGTGGTTCCGGGTTCAAACCTCGAATAGCGTTGAGATCTCCTTGCCAGCGATGCGCTTGATGCCGCCGCTCTCCGCACAGCTGCCCGACTTGCCGCTCAGCTGACCGTTGCGCATGCTCAGGATCTCATTGCTGATGAGGCTGGCGCAGGCCATGGCGTGCTTCTTCTCGGTGGTGCTCGAGTGGCTGATGGACTGACTGCTGCCGCCGTGCTCTGTGATGGTGATCTTGCTCAGCGTCTCCTGGCTCTCGCTGTTGCTGCTCGTGGTGCTCACAATCCTTGAGCGCGCCTGGTTCTGGGTATTTAATACTGTAGTCGTTGTTGTAGTAGTTGTGGTCCCACCGCCACTGGTGGAGGATGACAATGACGAGTTCGAGGAGGTGGAAGATGCATTGCTCGTGCGCCCACCTGCTGTGTTCAGGAGGGTTCTGGGCATAACGGGCGGTTTCATGGGGAGTTCTTTACATTTAACGAGTACAACAAATCAATCAAAATATGAAAATAAATAAGATACAAAATAAAAATAGTTTAAGCTTGCAAAAATCTACATCTACGAATGGAGATAGATCTACAAAGTGCTGGGCAGGCATCGCATACATCTTCTCATGCACTGACTGGGACACTCCACTTACCCAATCGACTAAGGCCTGCCGCCAGCTCGCGCACAGACTTCTTCTCAAGGGCAGCTCCTGCAACAGAAGATTGATTATTTCGTTTCGTTTTCGTTATGGGAACAGTGTCCGGCGCTCACCTGGTGTAATGCCCACAATGCTGCCCCCGCCACTGCCGCCCCCTGCTATGGCTATGCCCGGTGTGATACCCACTATCGAGCCGCCGGTGCTCTGGCCAAAGGTCAGCACCTCAACATCTGAACAGAAAAGAGTGATTAGTGATTGCTGATAGGATTCAGACCCCCCTCCCATTTCATACCTTCCTGCAGCTTGTCCGGCGTCGTCTTGTTGGACTCGGCGGTACCGTTTCCAGTGACCAGATCGCTGGACTTGGGCTCGCTGCCCACCACAGACCAGGGACGCGGCTTCTGCAGCACAATGGGCGTGCGCAGGATTCCGTTGCCCGTCTTCACTATCACGCTTCCCTCGCCGCTGGTGGCGTGGCTCTTGATCGAATCGCTGCTCGGCGAGCGCATCTTGTCATCGCGGTTGCCCGCTTTGAGCAATCCGGATGTGGCTCCCTCTTCCATGGCAGCACCCGAGCCCGGCCCACCCTCGGTGCGCATCTTGACCAGCGGCGATTTGCGTCCCACCAACGGCGAATACTTCTCGAGGTTGTCCGTGGAGCGCGACCGGGTGGCCCAGGAGGCACCTGCGGGAAAGGCATCATCAGATATGGTTCTGTAGATTATCCAGGATTCACTTACTCTTGAGGAGGGGCGATTGGCGCTCTAATTTGATTGGTCGGCGCTCCTCCAGGATGGGCGTGGTCTCCTCGGAGGTCATGTGTCCGTTGCCATCGCGGCTCATGGTGGGGCTGTCGACAAACGACAGCGAGCTGCACTCCTCCGACGTGGGCGAGACGAGGGGCGTCAGTGTGGTGGGTGTCACCGATCCCGGACGAAAGAAGTGCTCCAGTCCCTCGCCAATCTCCCTGCCGCCACCGGCACACTCGGCGCTGACCAGCGGCCGGGTCGGGGCCCGCGTCTTGGCCCGCTTCGGTCGTCCCTTGACCAGGTGCTGCAGCTGGAACGAGGCGCTGGGCAGCTCGGTGATAGAGTCGCAGCACTCGTCGACGCCGCCATCGTCCATGGCCGCGATGCTGTCCGTCATGTTGCTGGCAGCGGCCAAGGCGGCGGCACCGGCAGCTGCACCGCGGGTCGACAGCTGGGAGTTGGAGCGATGCGAGGAGGGGGACTCCAGCAGATCCGGTATGTGGCTCAGACTGAGATTCTCCACGACCGACTGGGGACGAACCTTTCGGGCAACGCTGCGCCGCTTGGTGGGCAGATGGGGAGTGGCCTGCGGGGTGGATGGATGTCATTAGATGGACTCCATTAGATGGAGGTGTCTGCAAATCCTTCATATTCGGAGGGGCGGGTCGGGGAGGGATTTCTACGGGTGTGTTTATGGTTTGTGTGAAATAATGAAATGTGTTTGTATTTCGGGGGATCGACTACGGTTTAAAACAGATATAGATATTCTACAGAAACGAGCAGACTACAGCAGAGCGGGGGAATGGAATGGCATAAATTTAAGGATAAGAGTTGGGTCCGATCTCTCTCAGCCAGCTCTCAGCTGTCGGGGAATCAAGGAGCATCTGCCCCATGATTCGCTGGCAGTCCCAGAGGCAGCTGATTCATCGACCCAACTACAGAGTTATACAGAGATAGAGACAGAGGGAAACAGAGAAAGAGAGATATGACAAATACTACTT